GAAGATGATAGAGAAATGCATAGGAACGCAACGGTTTCGGAGATTACAGAGAGTCATGCGTCAAGGAAAGGTGACGTTTCTCTGTCTTCTTCTCACCGTCATCGTCCTACGTGGCACAATCGGAGCCGGTAAGTTCGGTACTCCGGAGAAAGATATAGAAGAGATCCGCGAGCATTTCTTCTACACGCGTAAACGAGCAGAGCCCCACCGTGTCCTCGTCGAGGTCTCCACGAAAACGACGTCGTCTGAAGAAGAAAACGGCAAGAACTACGAGACCTTCGATATCAACAAGTTATTTGTTGATGAAGGAGACGAAGAGAAATCTGAAGACAGGAAGACAAAACCGTATTCTCTTGGTCCTAAGATCTCTGATTGGGATAAACAGAGGATTGATTGGCTCAAACAAAACCCTAATTTCCCTAATTTTGTAGCTCCAAACAAGCCTAAGGTGCTTCTTGTTACAGGTTCAGCTCCTAAGCCGTGTGAGAATCCTGTCGGAGATCATTACCTCTTGAAATCGATTAAGAACAAAATCGATTACTGTCGGATACATGGAATCGAGATCTTTTACAATATGGCGTTGCTTGATGCTGAAATGGCTGGATTTTGGGCTAAGCTTCCATTGATTAGGAAATTACTTTTGTCTCATCCTGAGATTGAGTTTCTATGGTGGATGGATAGTGATGCTATGTTTACAGACATGGTTTTTGAGCTTCCATGGGAGAGGTACAAAGATTACAATCTAGTGATGCATGGTTGGAACGAGATGGTTTATGACCAGAAGAATTGGATTGGTCTGAATACAGGAAGTTTCTTGCTTAGAAACTCACAGTGGTCGCTTGATCTTCTTGACGCTTGGGCTCCGATGGGTCCTAAAGGAAAGATCCGAGAAGAAGCGGGTAAAGTTTTGACCCGGGAACTTAAAGACCGACCCGCGTTCGAAGCCGATGATCAGTCCGCGATGGTTTATCTTTTGGCGACGGAGAGAGAGAAATGGGGAGGTAAAGTTTATCTAGAGAGTGGTTATTACTTGCATGGTTATTGGGGGATTTTGGTAGACCGGTACGAGGAAATGATCGAGAATCATAAACCGGGTTTTGGAGACCATAGGTGGCCATTGGTTACGCATTTTGTCGGGTGTAAACCGTGCGGTAAATTCGGAGACTATCCGGTCGAACGGTGTTTACGGCAGATGGATAGAGCGTTTAATTTTGGAGACAATCAGGTTCTTAACATGTATGGGTTCGAGCATAAGTCGTTAGGGAGCAGGGGCGTGAAACCAACGCGTAACCAGACTGATAGGCCGCTTGATGCGAAGGACGAGTTTGGGCTGCTACATCCGTCGTTTAGAGCGGCCAAGGTCACGACGAGGACGTGAGGAATATTTGATTTTTTTTGGCTTTAGGGATACATACATTATGTTTTATTCGTTTAATTAAGTTATAATATGATTTTGACCTCCCATTGATGGTGGAGTCGTGTATGGAGTATTTAATGATTTGTTCTTATAAAATTTATTGTAGAAAACGTAATTTCATCATCAGTTTGGAAATGAATTTTATTGTAGAAAACGTTCGTCATTATTGGTTTATTACATATGTTCCTTGTTACTTTCGAGTATTAAATTAATGTCTAGTATTTTAAGTTATTACCTTTGTTCCCTTTTTTTGTGCCGGATACTTTTTGAAATTTACACATTTTTACCCGTAACTTTATAATATTGAGTATACCCATTCTTGACCCAAAAAAGAAGTCATGTACCCGTACCTCTTTAGTTTTTACGTATGTTCGTATAATTTTTGTTTATTAACATTTGTAGCCTAACTTTTTGATATTACATTGTGCTGTAATTTTGACCCAAACAAAAAAAAACATTGTGCTGTAATGGAATATTGTTTTGCCTTAAGGAGCCACATTTTGTTGTTTTCCCATTTTTCTTAGTTCCTTGATTAGATTCAATCATTTTGACTTTGTAGCTCCCGTTGATTGTGGAGTGTACGAAGTAATCAATGGTTTATTCGGAAAATTTCTTTTTTTGCATACAAACGTTTAAATTCCTTTCTAGTAAAAATTGTTGCGG